CATTAAAATACCAACAAAATATTTCACAGAACTGGAACAAATACTTCAAAATTTATATGGAACCAAAAAAGACCTCGAATAGCCACAGCAGTCTTTAAAAAGAAGAACAAAGTAGGAGGAATCACAATACCAGATATCAGGTTATACTACAAAGCCACTGTAATCAAAACAGCCTGTTACTGACACAAGAACAGGCATATAGATCAATGGAACAGAATAGAAAACCCAGAAATTGACCCAAGTAATTATGCTCAATTAATATTTGACAAAGGTGGCAAGCACATACAATGGAGTAAAGACAACCTCTTTAATAAATGGTGTTGGGAAAATTGCACAGATACATGCAAAACAATGAAACTAGGCCACCAACTTACACCATACACAAGAATAAACTCAAAATGGATAAAAGACTTAAATGTGACTCGTGAATTCATAAAAATCCTAGAAGAAAATGTCGGCAACAAAATTTCAGGCATCATACACAGCAGAATTTTCACTGATACATCACCTAAGGTAACAGAAATAAAGAAAAAAGTTAGTAAATGGGACTACATCAAAATAAAAAGTTTCTGTACAGCAAAAAAAAAAACAAGCATGAAATGGAAAGAGAACCCACTATATGGAAGAGCATAATTGCCAATAATACATCAGATAAGGGGTTAATTTCCAAAAAATATAGAGTGCTCATACAACTCAACAAAAGGAAGACAAAGAACCCAATAAAAAATGGGCAGAGCACCTAAATAGACACCTCTCCAAACAGGACATACAGATGGCCAAGAGACATATGAAAAAATGCTCAACATCACTAATCATCAGAGAGATGCAAATTAAAATGACTGAGGTATCACCTCACACCTGCCAGAATGACTGCCATCAATAAGTCATCAAACAACAAGTACTGGTGAGGGTGTGGAAAAAAGGTACTCTAGTACACTGCTGAGTGGTACAGCCACTATGGAAAATATGGTGTTTCCTCAAAAAATTAAATATTGAACTGCCATTTGACCCAGTAATCCCACTCCTAGGAATATACCCTAAGAAGCCTGAAATACCAATCTGAAAAATTATATGTACCCCTAATTTCATAGCAGCACTATTTATAACTGCTAAAATCTGGAAACAGCCCAAGTGTCTATCAGCAGATGAGTGGATAAAAAGCTGTGGTACATATACACTATGGAATACTATGCAGCTGTAAGAAAGAAAGCTCTCTATCCTTTGAGACAGCATGAAGGGACCTAGGGAGTATTATGCTAAGCAAATAAGCCAGTCAGAGAAAGACAAATACCACATGATCTCACTTATTTGTGGAATGTAATGAATAAAATAAGCTGATGAACAAAATAGACCCAGAGACATAGAAACAAATATGGTTCAGACTGACAAACCTCAGAGTGGGGTTGAGGGAATGGATGAGATAAACCAAAGAACTTACATGCATGTATGCGTAACCAATGGACATAGACAACAATGCTGGGGGGTTGGGGGGATGGGAGGAGGGTGTCAATGGGGGAAAAAGGAGAGACATCTGTAACAAAAATAAATTAATAAAAATTGGGGGGAAAATCATCATGATGTACACTTTAAATATCTTACAATCTTATCAATAAAACTAAAAGGGAAAAAAAAGGTGACTTGCTTTTTATTAGGAGTTTTTAGGGAAAAAATCATATTGAAATTGAACAAATGTGGGTGGTGGGGTGTTGCCTTGAGGAGTTGCAGTTTTTTTCTTCTTCAGGAGACAGTCCAGCTGATGTGTGGGTTGGTGGGTGGTCTTATCATATTTTCTTTAGCCTGTAAAATATGCTTTGGAGTAAAAAGAGTTACTGAGAGTGTAAAAAGGGAGTTTCACCTGAAGGGGTTACAAAGATTTGGGAAGAGGAAGATTTGTTTGAAGGGGGAAGGGGAAAGGGAAGTTTCTATTCATTAGAGGCTCTTTGGTGTGAATTACTTTTGAGTGGCTAAAAACAGCTGGGAAAGGGGAGTGGAGGGAGCCCAGCCCTTATCTATTTTACTGTTTGGGAAGAAAGGTGGTTTGAAGTTGCAGACACCAGCAAGCTCCATGGTTAATTGCCAGGTGCTTCTCATAAATTGTGGGGCTAAGAATCATAAGAAAAAGATAGCTCTGGCTCTGGCCAGTTTGTCTCAGCGGTTGAGCATCAGTCTGCGGACAAGAGAGTCCCAGGTTCAGTTCCCGCAAGGGGCATGTACCACAAAAAAAAAACAAAAAAACACACACACACACTCAAAGAAAGGTCTGATTTCTGTCCTTACACTTAGTAACAGAGAAACAAAATAATAAGCTTTCTAATTATCCAAATACCAAGAGATGAATGCCCATTCTTTACACAAATGATATTGGGAGAGCTTTTCTAATGGGCTTTTATGTGAAACTTCTGAATTACATTCAGGATGTTGGTTGCTGGATGTCTCCTGGCCTGACACCAGTAACTTTTATTTAACCTGTTTACTTACACTTCTATAGTGGTTGTAATATAAACCAGCCTAATAATATCTCTCCTAGGTCTTATAGAACAGATAACTAAATTATCTCATTCTTACCTGATGAGTTGCCAGGTTTAACTGCTACAGATGAACCTTCTTTAAGGCCATCGTGTCCCACTTTTTGTTGGACTAAGGAACTTCTAAGCTACCACCACAGTACCACATTGAAAGAGGGCCCATGAACAACAGAGCTCTTCAGTAAAGCATGTCCCCTCCTTGGAAACATTGCAGCTCAGAGTTGGCACTATAATGGTCTAAATAAATTATTTATCCAGCAAGATAAGAGAGAAAGTAGCTCAAAGCTTCCTGGGTTTATAACCTCAGTCCTTAAATTCATACTAAGACAGGAAACAGGCCAGACTTCCTCCAAAGTCCTTTTCTGTCACCTCTTATGCCTGGCATAAACCAACCATGGTAAAAATAAGCTGTTGCTGTCAGTCTTGGTTCATTGAGTACCATGTGTCAGGCACTGTAAAATCTAAGATGTATGGAAAGTGGCTTTTGCCTTGAATGAGCTTACAAATACATCCATTTGGACAGGCTGAGAAGGCATAGAAAAAGTTAAATTTCTCATTCATTCATTCATTCATTCCAGACACACATGCCAGGCACTGTACTAGGTACTGAGGATACAATGCTGAAGAAAGATTAAAAAACAGGTGATGATGCAAATGCCATCTGACTAGTGCAACGATGGGTGCTGTGGTTCTCAACCTTTCTAATGCCTGACCCTTTAATACAGTTCCTCATGTTGTGGCTTCCCCCAACCATAAAATTATTTTCGTTGCTACTTCATAATTTTAATTTTGCTACTGTTATGTCTTAGGCAACCCCTGTGAAAGGGTCATTCGACACCCAAAGGGGTTGCAACCCACAGGTTGAGAACCACTGGTATAAGGTGTTAAGTAACAGTGATGTTCAGTGTATACCATGAAATCAGAGCAGTTCTTACTTTGGGTTTTGATAATGCTATAAACAACACAGACAATCAATACTCCACAAATGCAATGACTCTTCTAGGACTCTCTCTAAAGGAAAGAGAGCTGGTTTAGCCTGAGGCTAGCACTTTAAAGTCTTTTGATTGATCATGCAGATCAGGGTTATCAGATTGGATATGCATGGAATAGGATCACTGATGAGAGGAGTATCCAGTAAAGAAGTGTTTCTCCTTCCACGGAATTCACCTCAGTCTCAGGAGCCATATTTCAGGTCAGGAGATATGGCCCTGACATTTAAGAACTTTCATTGTTGGACTTTGAAGAAGAGAACAAAAAAGATTGCCTACAAACTTGTATTATTATTACAATCTATTGGAAATTCTTACACAATTACTTTTCTCATGGAGAATTGTACTTAAAGTCATAATTATGTAAATTATATTTCTGTTACTTGTTACAGTCTCTGGACTTCTGAATCTAATTTGTATCTCTTTTAAGGTACCTGTCATTATCTCCTTCATTTATTTGCATAGATGGCTCTTTCCAGCCAATTAATTTCTCTCTCTTTTTTTAGTATTTTCTGTTTTGTTTATTAATATCATAAATGATAACTTTTCTAAAAGAAAACTTATTTGAATGAGTTACTACTAATAATAAATAAGTTCTAATTGAATGAAAACTTCATGCCAGATGATGTTATGTGAGAGGAGTGATAATAATATTAGTAGTTATTATTTAATGAACATGTATCATACTTTTGCATGGTGCTTATACTTCTCATTTACTTGTTTGTTTTTTAATTTATTCCTCACAGCAACGCTATCAAATGGGTAGTATGTATGATTGTTAATGATTTATAGATAATAGAAGTGACAGCACATTAATTTCTCAATGGGAAGAAACATGCCTTATTCATCTTTCTAAACTTCTTATCACTTAGCACATTGCCTTGCATATATTAGGCAATCATTGAATTATCTGTTGAATGAACTGTATCATCTAGAAGTGCAAGATACATTGGGAATTGGGTTTGGGGGCCTTCCCTTGACCCCCAAACCTTATATTTACCAAAGAATGGTCTTTTACTAATGGGGAAAAATTCATGCAACTTAAGAAGAGAGAAAAAGACAGGCTTTCAAAAATGAGGAATGGAAAGGACACATCCCTCTCTAGCAAGAACAGTGAAGTCATTGCTAATTATCAACAGGAAGACAGATGTCAGAGTCAAGTTACTCTCAGGTTCAAACCTAAAGTCTTTATTCTAAAGGGAGAACTCATTGTGTCAACCAATGTTGGATATTATAGAATATGGAAGATTGCATTAGAATCAGCCTTATGCATAAAAACAAGCAGATAGAACACTATGACTAGAAATGACATTAAATTTGGCTATGCAGTACCTAATAGACATCACTATTGTTTAGAAGTAGCACCAGGCAAGAAAGAAAAGGCGTAAAGGCCCATAAACTTCTGTTACAAACCATACCAGGAAGGTGGTGTTAGCCATAATACAGTGTTCTTAGTCATCTCATTTCTGTGTATCATTCTCAATAGGTGGAATTGGCTGTGTAGGTCAAGACAAGGGCCAGGTTCGAAAGTGCCTTGATGTGGTGGAGATATATAACCCTGATGGGGACTTTTGGAGAGAGGGCCCACCTATGCCAAGTTCCCTGCTCTCTCTTCGAACCAATTCTACCAATGCAGGAGCAGTGGATGGGAAGCTTTATGTCTGCGGGGGATTCCATGGAGCAGGTATTGATACATTTTTAAATATTTTATAACCTTCTTTGTTGCTGATTTGACCTCCCTTAAGTGACCTAGTTACCAAAGAATTATCATGAGAGCAATATGGGCACTGGCAAAAGTACAGATTTTGGTGTTCAATGACCTTAAGCAACTTACCAAACCTTTGAATTTCAGTTTTCACATCTACAAAATGGAGCTACTATCTCCAAAAGGATATGGTAAGAATAAAATGAGTTTTAGTTTATAATGGGAATAAGAGAAGAAATGGGAGAGGGAAAGCTAATGCCTGATTATAGGACAGTATAAGAAATATTTTTTCTTTTTCTTTTTTATTGTTAATGCTACCACAGATGTCCCCCATTTTCCCTTACTTTGCCCAACTCCACCCAGCCCTCTCACACCCCCATCTCTGCCTTAACCACACTGTCTGTATCCATGAGTTAAGCATATATATTCTTTGCTAATCAATTCACCCTCTTATATCCATTAACCTCTACCCCTCTTCTCTCTGATATTTGTCAGTCTGTTCCATGTATCCATGCCTCTGATTTTATTTTGTTCATTGGCTTATTTTATTCATTAGATTCCACATATTAGTGAGATCATATAGTACTTGTCTTTCTCTGGTAGACTTATTTTACTTAGCATAATTATCTTCAAGTAAATCTATGCTGTCACACAGGGTAAGAGTTCTTTCTTTTTTAGAACCATGTAGTATTCCATTGTTCCATGAATTTTTTATCCACTCATCCACTGATAGGTACTTGGGCTGTTTCCAGATCGTGGCTATTGTAAATAATGCTGCTATGCTCATAGAAGTGGATATATTCTTTCTAACTAGTGTTTTGGAATTCTTAGAATATATTCCCAGAAGTGAGATAACTGGGTCAAAAGGCAGTTCCATTTTTAATTTTCTGAGGAAACTCCATACTGTTTTCCACAGTGGCTGCACCAGTATACATTCCTACCAAAAGAGCATGAGGGTTCCCTTTTCTACACATCCTCACCAGCACTTGTTGTTTGTTGAATTATCAATGGTAGCAATTCTGGCAGATGTGAGGTGATACTTCATTGTCATTTTAATTTGCATCTCTTTGATGCTTAGTAACTGAGCATTTTTCATATGTCTCTTAGTCATCTGTATGTCTTCTTTGGAGAAGTGTCTGTTTAGGTCCTCTACCCATATTTCAATTGGATTGTTTGTCTTCCTGGTGTTGAGTTATATGAGTTATTTATATACTTTGAAAATTAACCCCTTATCAGATATATCATTATCAAATATGTTCTCCTATACAGTGGGTTCTGTTTTCATTCTGTTGATGGTTTCTTTTGCTGTGCAGAAGCTTTTTAGTTTGATGTAGTTACAATGTTTATTTTTATTTCTTTGTCTCTCTTGCCTTAGGAGATGTATTGGCAAAAATATTGCTACTACAGATATCTGAGATTTTCCTGCCTATGTTTCTATTTAGGATTTTTGTGGTTTACTGGCTTACATTTAAGTCTTTTATTCATTTTGAGTTTATTCTTGTGCATGGTGTAATTTGGTAGTCTAGTTTTATTTTTCTGCATGTGCCTATCCAATTATTCCAACATTTATTGAAGAGACTATTTTTACTCCATTGTATACTCTTGCCTCCTTTGTCAAATCTTAACTGACCATAAAGGCACAGGTTGATTTCTGGGCTCTCTGTTCTGTTTCATTGATCTGTATGTCTGTCCTTGTGCCAGTACCAGGTAGTTTGGATTAATATGGCTTTGTAGTGTAGTTTGATATCCAGTACTGTTATCCCTCAAACTTTGTTATTCTTTCTCAAGATTGCTAAGGCTACTCAGGGTCTTTTTTGGTTCCCTATGAATTTTTGAAATATTTGTTCTAGTTCTGTAAAATATGCTATTAGTATTTTATTTATTTATTTTTATTAATTTATTTTTGTTACAAAGGTTTCTCCTCTTCCCCCCACTAATTCCTCCCTCCCCCGCCCTCCCGGCCCTGTCCCCAGCTTTGTGTCCATGTCCATTGTTCATGCATATATACATATAAGTTCTGGGGTTTATCTCTACCCCAACACCCTCTTTTCTGGGGATTGTCAGTCTGTACCCCACTGCGATATCTCTAGGACTATCCCATTCCTCAGACTGTTATGTTCAATATATTCCACAAATAAGTGAGATCATATGATACTTGTCTTTCTCTGTTTGGCTTGTTTCGCTTAGGATAATAGTTTCCAGGTCCATCCATATTGTATCAAAGCATAAGACACCTTTCTTTCTTATAGCTGCATAGTACTCCATTGTGTATATGTACCAAAGCTTTTTTTTTTTATTAATGAATTTTTGTTACAGATGTTTCTCCTTTTTCCCCCACTGATTCCCGCCTCCACCTCCCTCCCTGCCCTGTCCCCAGTTTGTTGTCCATGTCCACTGTTCATGCATACATGCATATAAGTTCTGTGGTTTATCTCTCCCCCACTACCGCCTCTTCTGGGGATTGTCAGTCTGTAACCCACTTCCACATCTCTGGGATTACTCTATTCCGCAGACTATTATGTTCATTATATTCCACAAATAAGTGAGATCATATGATACTTGTCTTTCTCTGTTTGGCTTGTTTCACTTAGGGTGATACTTTCCAGGTTCCTCCATGTAGTCTCAAAGGATAAGAGATCTTTCTTTCTTACAGCTGCTTAGTACTTCATTGTGTATATGTACCAGAGCTTTCTTATCCATTTGTCTACTGAAGGACACTTGGGCTGTTTGCAGGTCTTAGCTATTGTAAATAGTGCTGCTACCAACATGGAGATACATATATTCTTTCTGATTGGTGTTTCAGGCTTCTTAGGGTATATTTCTAGAAGTGGGATCACTGAGTCAAAAGCCAGTTCAACTTTTAATTTTTTGAGGTAACACCATATTATTTTGCATAGTGGCTGCACCAGTCTGCATTCCCACCAGCAGTATACTAGAGTCCCATTTTCTTCTCACCCTAACCAATACTTAATGTTTAATGATTTCTTGTTGGCGGCCATTATGACAGATGTGAGGTGATACCTCATTGTTGTTTTAATTTGCATCTCTGTTGATGATTAGTGATGTTGAACATTTCTTCATATGTCTCTTAGCCATTTGTACGTCCTGTTTGAAGAGGTGTCTATTTAGCTCTTCTGTCTATTTTTTAATTGGGTTCTTTATATTCCCTTTGTTGAATTGTATGAGCACTCTATATATATTGGAAATTAACCCCTTATCTGATATATCATTGGCAACTATGCTCTCCCATGCAGTGGGTAGCCTTTCTGAATTGATGATTGTATCTTTCACTGTGCAGAAACTTTTGAATTTGATGTAGTCCCATGTGTTCATTTTCTCTTTGTTTTTATTGTCTTAGGTGATGTATCAGTGAAAATTCTGCTGCATAAGATGTCTGAAATTTTGTTGCCTACAGTTTCTTGTAGGATTTTTATGGATTCATGAGTAACATTTAAATCTTTTATTCAGCCCTGGCCGGTTTGGCTCAGCAGTTAGAGCGTCGGCCTGCGCTCCGGAGAGACCCGGGTTCGGTTCCCGCTAGGGGCGCGTACCTTGGTTGCAGTTTGTCCCCGGCCCTGGTTGGGTCATGTGGGTGGCAACCACTAGATGTGTCACTTTCACGTCGATGTTTCTCTCTCTGTCTCTCCCTCCCACTCTACCTGAACAAAATATCGAAAATAAATAAATAAATAAATAAATAAATAAATCTTTTATTCATTTTGAGTTTATTCTTGTGTAGGATGTATGTTGACAGTCTAGTTTCATTTATTTGCATGTAGCTGTCCAATTTTCCCAACACCATTTATTAAAGAGGCTGTCCTTACTCCACTGTATGCTCTTGCCACCTTAGTCAAATATTAATTGAGCACATTGCCTTGGGTCCATTTCTGGATTCTCTGTCTGTTCCACTGGTCTATATGCCTGATCTTATGCCAGTACCAGGCTGTTTTGATTACAGTGGCTTTGTAGTATAACCTGAAATCATGTAATGTGATTCCTCCAACTTTGTCCGTCTTTATCAAGATATTTGAGGTCTTTTTTGGTTACATATGAACTTTTGAAGTATTTGTTCTAATTCTGTGAACTATGCCGTTGGTATTTTGATGAAGATTGCATTGAATCTGTAGATTGCTTTAGGTAGTATGGACATGTTAATGATGTTAATTCCTCCAATCCATGAACAGGGTATGTGCTTCCACTTTTTTATGTCTTCTTCTATTTCTTTTTTCAATGACCTGTAGTTTTCTGCGAATAGGTCCTTTATTACTTTGGTTAAGTTTATTCCTAGGTGTCTTAATTTTTTGCCGCAATGGTAAATGGGAATTTTTTTTAGTTTCACTTTCTGTGAGTTCATCATTGCTGTATAAGAATGCCATCAATTTCTTGATGTTAATTTTGTATCCTGCTACTTTTCCAAATTCATTTATTAAGTCTAGTCCTTGAGGGTTTCTACGTAAATTATCATGTCATCTGCGAATAATGACAGTCTCACTTCCTCCTTTCCAATTTGGATCCCTTTTATTTTTTCTTACTGTCTGATTGCTGTGGCTAAGACTGCCAGTACTACGTTAAATAAGAGTGACGAATGTGGGCATCCTTGCCTTGTACCTGTTCTTAAGGACAATGCTTTCAGTTTTTGCCCATTGAGTATAATGTTGGCTGTAGGTCTTTTATATATGGCCTTTATTATTTCAAGATATGATCCCTCTTTTCCCACATTGCTGAGTGTTTTTATCAGAAATGGATGCTGGATTTTGTCGAAGGCATTTTCGGCATCTATTGATATGATCATGTGGTTTTTATTCTACATTTTATTTATGTGGTGTATCACGTTTATTGATTTGTGAATATTGTACCAGCCTTGCATCCCTGGGATGAATCCCACTTGGTCATGGTGGATAATTTTTTTGGTGTATTGCTGGATCAGATTTGATAGTATTTTGTTCAGGATTATGGCATCTATGTTAATCAGAGATAAT